CCCCATTTGATTTGAAGTCACACTGAGCCAGAGTGTAAATGTCATGCTACAACTTTCCAAGCTATTCTGGTGAAGTGCCTCCTCTGATCATCATTTCTAGTACAAGCAGGCACCCAGTACAAACATGGCCAGTTCTACTAGGAGAACAACCTTAATTCATTGCTTTTTCTAGCTATATAACACCAAATCAAACTGAAGAAAGGTTAAATAACAAAGATATTATGACCAATACAATTAATGATAAACAAAATCACATGAAGAAAACTGATTTAAAAAAATTATCAAAATAATTGATTATTTCAAATGTGTATCGATTATTGATCGACAGAAAAATATCAATGATGCATCGATATAATTTCTATCGATGACAGCTCTATTAATAATTAACTACATTAATGATCATAAACATTGATCACTTACAGCATAGACTTTGTCAGTTATTGCTTTCTTGATAAGAAGAGAGATGCTCGAAGCATGGTACGTGCATCGTCTTTATTTCCCGTCGATAATTCCTGCATCTGTTTATATACAGCAGTAACGCATCTTCTCTGTACGACCAGGTCTTTGAATAAGCTTTGGGATACCTGTAAAGTAACAGAACTTTATTTTAAAGCATGAAACAAAAAATGGTTAACTTAAACAGTGCAGACCTGATAATCAGATAGCAAAGATGTGTCGGCTAATCTTGATCTGCACTGTTCACATGGGTTAAATCAGTTCCTATCAGCAGGCTACCCTTAATAAATAAAGTTTAATCTCAAACAATTGAATACACACAGATATTTTCTAGGAATAAATTATGTCTTCTTTAAAAGCCATTATCCAATACAACCAATTCAATATGAGGCTCAAACCTAACAATGAGTATAATGAATAGACAAATACTGACCAGAGGTTCTCCAATACATCAACAGCAGCAGACGCTTCTCTCATATCCTTCTCTGACAGGGGTTCAGGTTCACCGGTTATACCCCCAACGGCTGAGTCCGGTGGTGGCTCTACGGGATCCTCGTCCGGTACAACCGATGGTCTAAAATAATAACATAGAAGTACATCTTATTTGAGGAAATTTTACACGTTAAAGTAAAGATGATATTAAACTTATTTTATGATAAAGACTCAATATAATAATTGAAGCACATCTTTTGTCGTTGAGGGCTATTAAAAAAATTTTATCAAATTTATTGTTCAAACTATTAATTGTTTATAAGTACCAAAAGGATAAGGAAAATTTACAGAAAAGGTAAATATTTGCTATGAGATACTTTTTATCTTGAACAATACAATTTATTTTATCAATTTTTCAAGAGCTGAATTTATCATCAAATCATTTTTTTCAAGCTAGAAAAGAAATCAAAAAGCAATAAATACTTGATTACAGTTACTTTTAAATTTTTGAAATTTGTCTCCAATGTAAGTCTTGATTGATATACCGTAGTAATAAAATTAAACTCATTTTGTGTAATACATAATTAATAGGAAATACATGTTAAAACAGAAATTTTGTGAACATGCAGGCACAAACAACATGTAACGGAAACTAGTAAAAATTATTTATCATGCAAATGCTTGAAATTATCTTGTTTTAAAAAAATGCATGCAGTCTTTTGATATTTAAGCAAATGTTTTATGTAAATATATTAATGATGCTCATAAAATTGCATGCATTATATAGCTATCTAGAAATTTATATTTAATTTATAACTTATTATAATGGTGAAAATGACATCTGTTGGTGTTTTAATGACCGGTAAATAATATGTGCTTTATTTAATTTAACTCAAAGTTATATCAAATTAACCAAATATTGGATCTAATTTACTCAATGCTACAACAAATAAACCAAATGTTACATGAATATAACTCTAGTTTACATGTAATTAACTCAAAGTTTTATTAAATAAACAAATGTTGAAAGGAACCCAATGTTGCAAAAAAAAACTCAAAGTAACATCAAATGTATATATATAATATGACTACACTATTTCTAAACAAAGGGTAAAGACATAATACTAACAAAATAAACAATATATTTGAACAACGTTGTTCACTGTTTGACAAAAATAATCTTTAGTTATCTTCACTTCGTTTAATATAAGAAATACTTGAGATTATATTTATCAAGTGTGTATCAAATTTAAGGCCTAAACTAAAATATGTATTGTTTTCCCTCCCGCTTCTTACTCAAATCACTGCGGCCTTATCATTTTATCTTTTTTTGCCAATCATATATTGTTTTCTTTTAAAAAACATAGAAGCAAAATCTGTCAATCAAAATGATATCTTCAAATCTGTGTCGTGTTTTGCCTTTGTAAATATACAAACTTGGTTTATATGTTGAATAACACTTTAGTTCTAGTCTTTATAAATATGTTAAGCATACCATTCCCACATTGAAGTTGGTAGCGGCAGGGGAAACAAAATAGTTCTAAGACTGGCCTAAATGCATGTTATTGTGCTGATAATACGTCGCTTTCAAATGTTTAAGATCAAGCTTGTTGTAATGAATTAAGAATGATAAATATAGTCTCATTGTCACAAATTTATTCGGTGTTAGTATTATATTATTTTTGTATTTAAGCTGTTGAAAGCTATACATATACCGACAGTAAAAATAATTAAATCTTAAATTTTGAAAAATAATACTTCCAAAATACCTGAAAAATATGTTTGTGTATTTCCTGAAGAGCGAATGGCGCATTTTCAAAATATAAAACAGTATAACACAGGATGGTATTTTGTTATGTTTATGTAATTATATGTGTTAAGTAACAGAAACATTAAATGTAACAGTTTTTTTACAAATCGATCATAAGGTTATCAAAACAACAACATTTCACCCTTTAATATAAAGTTTCTAAAAATATTGATAGCTTGGTACCCCTTCATCAGGACTTTTTTCTGGGATATCAAGTTGTTTATTATGTTTATGATATTAATGCATTTGTTTAAAATGCTGATTTTTTATCTAAATTTATTTTACAAGTCCATGGTAAAGGCAACACATTTTGAACTTATTTTGCAATTAATCTTTCAGATTTAAAAAGGGGTTGCTCAATATATTTAGCATCACATACTTTGTGTTGTTCATACAATAATTTTATCGCGTGCATTAATAAACTTTATATTCGACAAATGAACTGATGTGATAAAAACATTGTTGAAAACTTAACGGTCATAATATCTTACTGCTATTTTTATAACATCATATGAACTTTTTGTTAAAGGTTAAAATTTTAACTAGAGTTGCAATATACATGTATTTTCAACTACGTTGTTATTGTAAAATAAATACTTTTAATGTTGATAACCTTTTTTATAGAAAAGCATTTTGATATTGAATTTCGAAATATGCGGTAGGGATTTTAATGTAGGTTGGTTATTCCAATTTAAATGGCACATTCCAATGCCTACAAAGATAATCTATCAACCTTTATTACAAATTTAAATGTAGCGGGATATTGTTGTTTATTACTTTAAAGCGGCCTTTAATTTTTATTTTCCGTCGGAAAAAAACAAGTATGTGTTTTTTCAAATTATGTTTTTCATTAATTTCATCGTGGCAAAGTACATCATTGTTAAACTTTTTTTAAAGAAGCGTCCCGAGAGCTATTTATAACGCATAAGTGACGTTCGTTTTCATATATTTTTTTCTAAAAATAGAAGATCGGGAAACGAATCGTCCTCTTTACTATTCTAAATATAAAGAGCGGACCAAAAAATAGAGGCAGTGTGGGATTTCCTTATTGTTTATGTATTCCATCGTCGGTAAATTTTATCTTCAACCCTAATTATTTCCATTTAACAATTATGCGAGACGATTTATCTGTTTAACTTTTAGAAAACCTAAAAGCCGCTTTAAAGCAGTAAAGGTGTTTAATGCAATTAAAATGTATGGTAATTTAAGAGAAGATTGGCGTTAATACTATTTACATGCTGTTTTAATTTTCATGAACCCAAATTTATCTATCATAATATACAAATTTTACCTAATTCTTCTCAAAATATTTGATAATTTTTTGGTAGCTCTACTCAGGCGCCCGTTCGTGCCTGAAATAATGCACGGAAGGGCAACTGAGGTCATCCTCCATCAGTAAAGCTGAAAAATCGCGATATAACCTATACTATGTTAGTGCACCGTAAAACCTAATAAAAACAACAAATCTATCAATAATTCGTATTATTTCTAAATTGTAAGTATAAATACATAAGTAACTTTATAGAGATAACGATGTTTAACTTAGGTTTCTATATCACTAAGTTCACGCGCCTTTCTTTATAAAATGGACCAGAAACATAAAATATATTGTACTTTCTATGCTGCGTGACATAAATAATTGCTAATATATCAATCTTAAATGGGTTACGTTTAACATATTTCCCTATGGTAATCACTGAGAAGAAGTTATGTGTGACTAGAAGTAATGCTAAATAGAAGAAATAAATTCATTTTAGAAATATGTTTTATGATATAACGACATGCATACAATATATATCACAAACATCATGCTATAGGTCTATTCCAAAACGCTAATAGCAATAATTTACTTTGAGGTCAATTCAACAAATAAATGACTGAAGTTGCATTCATTTTTGAAATGCATATACATTCGTTTAACTTCTTATAGCACGTTAATTATTAGTTAGAATGGAGAATGACACATTAATCTTATGGACTGTTAGGAAGTGACTATAAACTCGCTCATGTTTCATTTTTATTACATTACATATTTACTCATCCGAGCTTCACCTAAATGTTTTCTTATACAGGTGTATGGCTATCTCGTTGAGAGCACTTATATTATCGACACCAAATACTTGTCAGTTTTCTACAATAATATGTGTGTTATGAAAAAGTCTTTGGCTCGAGAAGTATTCCTCTCTGCCATCCCTTCATTAGAAGTAAGACACCATAGCATCCAGGCAGCCGCTCCGGCAACATTAACATAAGGGTCTGAGTTATATTTAAATAAATGTTGGACCTTTATCATTTTGATCACTTAATGATAGATAAGGTTTTTCTAGTTGTCCTGTAAAAGTTACTTATTGACACATCGTATTAGTTTGCGTTTAAATACTTCTTATCTCGCGTTGGTTTATCCAGATTTTAAAGTCCTTTATGTGCATAAATGTATAAAATATGTGATATTTAAAACAATGAAAACATTATCGCTGCATTTCACATGTTTGTGCCTATTTTTTCATGGACGTCTCGTGCTTGTGGATACGGAAAACAACAACGAGACGAATGTGATAGATTTACGACTCCCCTATGTCAGAGTTCCTGAAACAAAAACTTACTATGTTTGTCAGCAATTTGAGGTAAAAGCTTTCTTATGTATTCAGTTATTTTTCATCTAGTTATCATTTGATTAAAGTAGTGGTGATAAATGAGCAAAGTCCTTACAGTCGTTGATCTTTGTCACCTCTAGAATATTACAGTTACTTTAAAGAGGTCATTTATTCAGTTCGTGTTTTCTGTAATACTGTATGGCCATTTAATTACGTATAGTAGATTTTTTGTGTAAAGCACGTTCAAAGTAATAGCTATAACACATGTATGCCTTTCCGTATATTATAATACCTTCACACTTTCATACAGTAAATTAATCAAATTATTATTTATTTAAATGTTAGCCGGGTCAAATTGAAGATATGATACGGAGTCTAAAAAGAAAAGAATATGTTCTTAATTCATTGTGTTTATTCTTTCTACTTAAAACATGGCGGAGACTGCCGTTGCATAACCACATGTGGCATAAAACATTTAACTAATTGTTCACAACTAAAAATATAACAACGTTTCAACTTTACTCATGTCTAGGGGTACATGCAAAGAGTATTAAAATATAAATCATTATCATTATCATTATAATACTGCAATGTAAAATGTTTGGAATGAATAATGATAACCTGATTAACAACACAACCTTAATTATTTATATATCTGATTGAAATAAAAAACATATTAAACTGATGATTACTAAACTGCTACTATAGATACTTAACTTGAGAATTTACTATTATGCATAAAACAATAAAATCTAAATCATTGGCACAAATGATAATACTGACAATCAATTAATTTGGCACTTATAACTGTATATACTTAACAAAAAGATGAAAAATAATAATGAATTTTCATATGTTCAGTTAGACAAATAGCATATAAACAATGTTCAAAAACAATATTTTATATGTTCGACTTTATGTCGTTTATTTAGTAATGTTCAAACAATATGTTACATGTTCGACTTTATGTCGTTTAATTGCCTTTGGGTTCATTTACCGAGCTCTTTCCAAATATGGCCATAAAACATGCTATTCTAAATAATTGTCTAAACAATTATTAAACTGTAGTTTACTTACAAAAAGTTCATAGTTATCATATAAAATGCGTATTAACAATAAACAGTAAAAATATGATGATATATAGATGAATATCAAAATACGTATGTAAAGCGTTTATCCGCGAAACATATGACTCTCAACTTTAAACATGTTTGCAAGCTAAACAATACAATGTCATTGATAACAGTTACGATAAACAAAAAATACAATGAATAAACCTATCGAAGAAAGTCTTTTTCTTTCTCTTACTTGTTAATACTTACCTAAAAAAGAAAAGAATATGTTCTTAATTCATTGTGTTTATTCTTTCTACTTAAAACATGGCGGAGACTGCGCCAAATTACCGCAAAGAATAACTTACGCAAAGAACGCTCAACATTTTTTTATAGGGGTGCCTTCATCAACCTCACACACTCCCCCCGTAAACCAAATGTCGTCCCGACATTTGCTATCAAATGAACCGTTATCACTGACCACTTAAAAACCCCAAATGATTCACAAACAATTTACAAAATATATAACTATAACAAAATGAAGACTAGAAACCAAGTAAATAAAAAAAATAGAAAAATACCTCAAAAATTTACTTATTTCAAACATAAGCTTTAAAATATTTCCCCAGATCTCAAATGAAACACTATTGACTAACATTCTTTTCAACCTCTAAGTTCACAATTATTTATACAAAGACACTTCATTATTTATTGATTCTTATCTTAAGCGCTTCCCCAGGAAACCCAACGCCATTACACTTAACAGTTTGACCACGCCAAAACCCCATGAAATGAAAAGATGGCCAGTCTGTTCAAGTCATACCCTTTTGGCTATAGAAGTTTTGACCCATTGCCAACCTGTTCTCTTTAATGACGAACCCTTTGTTCCTGAGCATCATGCCTTATTTCTATAATCAATAAATGTCTTTAAGTGACTGTATATTCTTATCAAATTGCTTAGAAAAAATTACCTAATGGTGACAACCAACACAGTGAATTAACCACTTTTTGGTAAGATGGCTGTCCCAATTTATCGTATGTTAATAACCTAGGTGCGGCTTTACTGATCGTCTTATGCCAATTTGCGGTAAACTTACCTCACTCTCGTCATCTGAGGTTACAGGTGTTCCATTACTATCTGCTTCAATTTCAGAATCCGAATCACTGGTTTGTACACATTCTTGATCCTCAACAAAGTAAAAATCTTCAGAACTTACCTCACTAAAATTGTCTTCTTCTATTGGTACATTATCGACATCATTGTCTGACTTGCGGTAAAGTCTAGGAACAAAATCTTAATTAGCCTTTGGATTTAATTTACTCACATTTTGTTGTAGTATCTCGTTGTTTGCAACAAAATCACATGGAAGTATTAAATTTCTATGAAGAACACGAGTACGCCCCGTCCCAACTTCAGGTTTAATTTCTATCTCTAATTCTGGAGCACACCCAACATCTTCCTCATCTTTAGAAAATGCGTCTTTTTCTTCCAATATCAATGCTTTGATTTGACATACCTGTTTTTCTGTCAGATCTGTTCCCTGAAGTCCAAGACCGAATGCTTCCTCACAACTCTTCTGACCATCTTGATCTGAAACAGAACAAGTCTTTACACTTACCTGTGCTGCAGCATCAACTCTTTTGTCAGCAAGAGTAATTAAAGAAGTCAAGCCTTGAACGGTCCCAAGAACTGTTCTCTTACCTAGTAATACATCTCTATTTGATGTATTTTCCACTGGCACTTGTATCTTGAACTTGGACCCCCTTGAAACATTAACCATATGGGAATGATAGACTAACCCATTATCAGAAAATTCAACTTTTGGTTCAAAAAGTGCTGAAATGTCTTCATGAACAACATCTGAATGAACTGTTGCTCTGACCCATTGAGTAGAATTTGCAGGAATTAGAAGATTTCTTTTACCAACTATTGCTTTACCATATATAGGTGTCTCATTCAAGAGCCGACAGACATTTTGAGCTTTTTCCATAGACAAACCCTTTATCCCTTGTACTAAACCTTGACACAAGTTATCTCCTACACTATCCATTAAATATGATATGACATTAAACCCTAGAATTGGTTTTGAAATAGAATTATGCTTTGTAACAAGGAAAGGCACTTTGATAGAATCTGTACAGCCTACTGATAGTGATAATTCCACCCAACCCTCAAATGGAATTTCATCCACTGTAGCAGATTTAACACATACAATTTCAGACAAAGGTCTTATTTCAGCTTTAAACATAGATAGGAGTTTAGATGGAAAGAGAGACACCTGGGCTCCTGTATCCCATAACACAGTAAATTGCACTTTATCTAATAAACAGGCAATTAAACACTCTTTACCTACTATATTAATCAATTTCTCTTTTGAATTAGATGATAAACTTAAAACTGTACCCTTAATGTGGTTACCATGGACATTGTTCTCTGTTTCTAATGATGCTATTTTGGATTTGATTTCTTCAAAAATGTTCAATTGTTCTATTTAGGGGATGTCTCTCATTAATGTCACTGGTCATCGCGTCCCTGCCCGATGACCCCTTCATGTTTAAAGCTGCTCTACATCTCTCGCATAGTGTTCTTCAGAGCCGCACTTAAAGCAGTGGTTGCATAGTTTATCTCCATCCTGACACTTTTGACATTTTTTTCTTGGTCTTCGCATGCTTGCATTCTTTTTTTTTTCGTGCTTTCCGTTTTGGTTATTAGATTGTTTCATCTGTAGCACATAACCCTTTAGCTCTTCCAACTTGCGCTTGTAGTTCTTTCATGGCTTTATTCTCCTGTACCTTAACTGTTGCTATTGTAGATTTTGTTTTTGAATTATGTTCTAGTTCATTAAGAGTTATTTCGTTCAGTGTTTTGAGAATCTCTACATCAGACACACCTGGTAGTAAAATAGGTCTGAGTCTGTGTCTTATGTTGTCTTCGCGTAGACCAGTTGCCACAGCCTGGAAAAACATCCTCTCTACCAACACTTTATTTTAAGACACCGCATCGTCTGATGCCGAAGCTGCCAACACCCTTTGGCGAAGATCTAATGCCCGCATGACAAACTCAGACGCTGACTCTTGGACCCCTTGTGTTGCATTGCATAGTCTTTTGTATAATTCAGTTGGTGTTTGTTCTTGAAAATGTGAATGTAAAATTCCCCTTAATTCCGTTAATGTAAGTTCGTCTTTTCCCTCTAAATAACTTCTTAATTTAACACCAGGTGTAATACACCTAATGACACCTTCAATTATCTCTGTCTCGGTGTGTCCTTTTTCAATGCCAGTTCTTATTTGACGGTTTAAAGATACCAAACTTAGACCACCTGCGTCTGTAATTGATCCTGATATTTTGAAGTCTCTTCTCCACATGGCTGGTGTCGGGTTAGTTTTCTCTGTGGATTTAAGAAAAGTTTTCTGTGACTTGTCATCTGATTTGCATTCTAATAGCATCCGTTCAAAATCAGCAAAAAGAAAAGCCCTTTGATCTTCTTCTTCTTCTTTTAAAATTGATTTCTCTTCATCCGCATCACATCACGTAACTTGTCATTGTTAATATCCCGGACGAGCCCCCAAATGTTGGCCGGGTCAAATTGAAGATATGATACGGAGTCTAAAAAGAAAAGAATATGTTCTTAATTCATTGTGTTTATTCTTTCTACTTAAAACATGGCGGAGACTGCCGTTGCATAACAACATGTGGCATAAAACATTTAACTAATTGTTCACAACTAAAAATATAACAACGTTTCAACTTTACTCATGTCTAGGGGTACATGCAAAGAGTATTAAAATATAAATCATTATCATTATCATTATAATACTGCAATGTAAAATGTTTGGAATGAATAATGATAACCTGATTAACAACACAACCTTAATTATTTATATATCTGATTGAAATAAAAACATATTAAACTGATGATTACTAATCTGCTACTATAGATACTTAACTTGAGAATTTACTATTATGCATAAAACAATAACAATCTAAATCATTGGCACAAATGATAATACTGACAATCAATTAATTTGGCACTTATAACTGTATATACTTAACAAAAGATGAAAAATAATAATGAATTTTCATATGTTCAGTTAGACAAATAGCATATAAACAATGTTCAAAACAATATTTTATATGTTCGACTTTATGTCGTTTATTTAGTAATGTTCAAACAATATGTTACATGTTCGACTTTATGTCGTTTAATTGCCTTTGGGTTCATTTACCGAGCTCTTTCCAAATATGGCATAAAACATGCTATTCTAAATAATTGTCTAAACAATTATTAAACTGTATTTTACTTACAAAAAGTTCATAGTTATCATATAAAATGCGTATTAACAATAAACAGTAAAAATATGATGATATATAGATGAATATCAAAATACGTATGTAAAGCGTTTATCCGCGAAAACATATGACTCTCAACTTTAAACATGTTTGCAAGCTAAACAATACAATGTCATTGATAACAGTTACGATAAACAAAAAATACAATGAATAAACCTATCGAAGAAAGTCTTTTTCTTTCTCTTACTTGTTAATACTTACCTAAAAAGAAAAGAATATATTCTTAATTCATTGTGTTTATTCTTTCTACTTAAAACATGGCGGAGACTGCGCCAAATTACCGCAAAGAATAACTTACGCAAAGAACGCTCAACATTTTTTTATAGGGGTGCCTTCATCAACCTCACAAAATGACACTCTGGTTCGCAATGTATATGTTTTCAAATATTTTTATTGATAGATTACGTTGTTTGAATTATTTGTTTAAATGAACTTTGCTTAACGCGCCATGCCTCCAGATTCATGATATTTTTTCCTAAAATATTTGAAATGTATTTAAAAGATACATATTGTATTGTGAACAAAGACAATAATTTATACATTGCAATAGGTGCTTACGTTACCAAAAAGGGATCAAGGTATAAACAAAGCCCTTACTGCGTAATTCATGCAGTTTAAACTTTTTGATAAATGCTGCTAAATAAGTTACTAAACACACAAAACCGTTTATTAGTTTTCCTTTTTTACAAGCTTAGTATATTTTTTTGTTTGTCTTGAAATATTTTGGTACATCTTGAGGCATGAGCTTTAAACCGGATTTTCCTTTTAATCGAAATTAAAATGTAAATTAATATATTACCAAACGGAAAAGTGATTGTTTTCTTATATTCGTTGATTTTGGTGAGGGTTATTCTTTTGACTGAGGAACTATTTGAAATTATGAATACTAGTGAAACATGTACGTATGTACGTCATTAACATTCATTTTGTTAAACATTTGCCTTTATTAGGTCAAAGATGACAAGCCATATCACGTGATTAGATTTGAGCCAATCATAAACAATACTGAGATCATTCATCACATGCTTGTATTCGGATGTGAATTCGAAATGGATGACAAGGTAATAATGATATCTTATATTAATAAGCAAGCAAACACTTCACATGAAATGAATACCATGCCCAATAATGAACTTTAAACAACTCTTTTGTTAATCAATATAGACTAATACTTGGTGTATTTTAAGCTCATTTTTGCTTAAGTTGGCAATATCGTATTATTCTTCACAGTATAATCACTGCCTGAATTAATTCGCCCTTTGACATTAAATTACGAAAAAAAGAGAGGAACAAAATCCAACAACAGAAGTTTATTAATATATTAATTACATGTTATACTTGCACATTGACAATCAGGTGATTATCTTGAGAAACATTTATGAAATAAAAACATTGTTTTATGAAAATATATTGTCTATGGTCAATAAAGAGATTATTCTGAGAAAAATATAAAATTATGTGAAAAAAAAAACTTTTAATTGTAAGGCTTTGTCCTCTTTTTAGATGTATGATTCATAAAGATATTATCAAAAGAAAAAAAAATATGTGAAAAAGACCTATTTATGAAAATGCCTTGTCCTCTTTTAAGATATATTATGTAACGAAATAATATCTTATTCTGTAAAAATAAAGTGACATTATTCTCACATTTTCGTTGTCAGCTGATCTGACTTGACTATATATTTTAACTGTTACATATTGGCTGTTTTAATGTCCTTCTTAATAGAAACTCTTCATTATGCTTGAATACTTGCGCTCAAATGTTTTAGGAATTTAATTATTTTACAGGGGCCTCACCCATGTGACTCGTTAGACTACAGGTGTCACACATGGCTGGGCAAGTGGGATGTTGGAATGGATGATCTTATAATGCCAGATAATGGGGGTGTCAGAATAGGAAAAGGTTCATTCAAGTATCTTCTTCTGCAGATACACTGGAATAATGAGATGGGTTCAAAAGATGAAACTGGTACGTGATGAAATTAAATTAATATGTAACACCTTCACTTCAAGTGCTGTCTTTAAACTTTCGCATTTGAAGATGTTTTGTCGTTTCATGTTTTTCTCATGGTAACTTTTAAACAGGACAATTCTTTTTAAACATTCTTGGCCAAATTTAGGTTCATACAACTAACGTTTATTATATTGGATTGTAATTAGGTTTCAAATCAATAATACAGGTTGAGTTCGAATTTAGTATCAGACAAATATTTCTTCACATGGTTATTATTATTTTGTCTTTTTCTATAAGCATAAAATTAAAGATAAGTACTTGTTACATTGATGTTTCGTCAGTAAATGACTGCTGTCTTTTATGTTAAAGTTTTGTATGCCATCAACCTAGAATTTCATTGCGTGTTGAGAAAGTTAAAACATTCAAATGCTTGACCAATTTCTAAACATGATGTCAGAATTGCTTTTTTACGAATGGTGTCTCAAGGCAATTGTACTCATCCTTAGAAAATAATAATTTTCAAAATAATACAATATTTAATTTAAATTTCCGGCACCTTAAAATAAATAATAAGAAACAAAACGAAACAATATGTTATATGATACACAATAGGGTTATCCCCTTTAAGCACCTGTTTTCCAGACAGTTCTGGGATGCGGTTGCATGTTACTTCTCATTTACGTGCAAACGACATCGGGAATGTTCAAATTGGTCAAAACGACATAAACATCCCTGGGGAAAGTGATCACGTTCTTATATCCGGAATATGTCCCGGTAGATGTACGGGTCTTATGCTACCATCACCAATCTATATTACAAACGTATATTTGCATATGCATGGACTAGGTAAGTTGTTAATATTTATTATTGTCAATCACTTAAACGACCCTTGTTGGTAATAAATATTTTAGCTTTATTTCTTTGTTGTGCGGTAACTCGTAATAATTTGATATGTCTTTTGAAGTTTTTAACGCAAGTTTTACTTAACAGCAGTCCCAAGAACGTTTCCGATTATATCAGTTTCTGAATAAACGCTAGAAGCTATTGTTTACTGCATGCAATCGCATTATTGCCAGAACAAAAACAAAACGCAACAACAATTTAGTTTAGTATTTATGATACTCGTAAAATCATTTGAAATCCGCTGTGGACCTCGTTTCATGAAATTCGTTTAATAAAAATATTATAAAAGAATATAAATTCTTCATGATAAGTGATAAAATCACTAAAATATCTTAAAAGGAAAACAATTTTAGTGCATTGCTGTCGAATAATACACGGTTCGTAATCAAATGTACTGTAGTATATAAATTTACAAAGATTTATAGCACTGAGCAGTGTCTTTTGTTGTGATTAATGTAATGCCTTCGAGGGATCACCCTTTTTCCCGTTTTTTTACACTTCAAAACAGCTTCAGCTGTAAAAAGTTGCCCCGTACTTTACTTCAGTTTGTTATATTGTTTTTGTCCTTTAGGGTCATTGATTTAATCACATTTAAGTGTTTTAAAGTGCTAGGGGGCGTCACAGGTGCTCGTCCAGTCTTGGTGCCTATATACAAAAAAATTGAAGTTAAAAAAAAAAAAAAAAAAATCAACACCTAAACAACTATCCTGCGTTGAGTGAAAGAAAAAAAAATTTGAAAAAAAAATTGTTTTTCCTATATACCATTACTATGAAAAGGTCACCTAGTAGCCGTAACGCTATGGAGCTTTACAAGGACACGCTGTGGAACAACCACAATGTCCAGTTCTGTAACAATTCAAGCTATTTTGCTAGTCTTTATACATCATGCATTTAGAAAATTGTTAACATTCTTCGTCTACCTTATATAAAATCTTAAATGTCTTACATTTAAACTCGGACACTCCAATTTGTTAAAATCTTGCAAAATTCCGTTGATGGTCGGCCATTTTGTCGAAACCGAAAGTACAAAACCTACACCGTACTGTTCTGCGCTCAGTTGCTGACGCAGGAAGCATATTGACCACCGGTACGTTACGGGTTTAGCTCCAAATAAAGTACATGATACAATCGTGATATTTCTATTTTTCTTTTATTATTTTACAGTTTAAGGTTGGAAAAATTAACGTATTTGAAAATTATCAATATTTCTTTAATATCTATCGCAATTTCTTTTCAAAAACTAAATTGTTTATAATGAAAATCAATAAAACAGTCGCAGTGGCATCTTCCATAAAAATGACATTGTTTTCTGCGTAAACTTGGGTATTTACTTTTATTCATGCAATGATATATAATTACTTTCTTACAAATAAATTACCTTTTAAGGCCAAAAAACATAGAGTTCATAATTACACTCCCTCAGAGCTATGTACAAAAAGTACCGGAAAACGGAGTTTAGCTAGGTTTTCGAATTACGCAATATCAACAATGTCAGGTCTGATTATTGACAAACAACAAGAAGCTATTCAGACAGCAGTGTCAGGGCACAATTTTATATTAATTGGTCAACCAGGTACGGGAAAATCCTATACAATAGGTAAAATCTATGAGCAACTGAAAGTTCAAGGTAAACAGGTTTTTTTAACATGTACAACTGGCATCGCTTGCACAAATTTTGGGGTCCAAGCTGAAACAATTCACCGATGGGCTGGATTGGGAAGACGGTCGTTCACACG